AGCACATAGCTACACAATGCTATAACTGTGCTATGCCCACCACGGTAATTGAAACCTGAACTTTACCACCGTAAACTGTGAGGTTTACTGCTCAGCCAATGGGGGGAGCTTATATTTCTATAAGCATTATTATTTTCACAATTATGCAAAATACTTTTCAGATGATGTATCATTTGATCAATACTTGGATTAGAAACGAAAGTATATTTATTGTGCACGTCACAGATATTTACTAGTAGATTTGCATTTTAATGCATCAAATAAGAAAATTCCAACAAGCTAGGTACTATTTCAGAACCTTTTGATGGAATACATTCTTCCACCAGAAGCTTATTTCCAGTAGTGAATTAAAAACTATGTTTAGGCCTCAGTTATTTGTACAAATTTTAGAAAAGTAATCAGCATTTCAATATTTGTTTTTTTTTTGCTAAAATTAGAAATATTTATTTAAATTCTGGCATTGCAGATACTAAGTCAGTTAGATAAGTCTGTATATACCATGCTAGTCAGATAAGTAGATACTGTGTTAGTCAGGCTGATAAGTCTGAAACGCACCAAGTTAGTCAGTTAGATAAGTTTGTATATACAATCCAAATTTTAAAGGAAAGAGTTAACTCTCTCAGAATGTAATTTATATTGAGATAGATGTATTGCTTGTACACTGTGGTGAATTAACCAAGTCAGAAACTTACAAACCAGACATTAGATTTTAATAAATGTACACTTATGAATAGTGTTTGTGCTGTTATTTAGTTTGTAAACTTGTGTGCAATTGTACTATTACTAATAGGTAAAGATAGACTGAAATGCTAAAACCAGCATTTTCCCAAAGTGTGAGGCATGCCCTTCCAGGGAAGGGGCCAATGATCCCCCCGGGGGGTATGAGAGATTAGGATAGTTAGTAGTGCAATAATGCAAAATTAAGTGTTTTAATATTTTCAATTAACGAAAATAGTAAGTAATTACTACAACACACATACAGTATTTTAATGTTTATCAGCGTATTATATCTTGTCACCTAACTTGCTTTTTTGACTCATTTAAAAAAAAAAGAGGTGGGTGCGCAAGAGGGGAGGGGGTGAACAACACAAATTTGGGAAATGCTTGCATAAACAATAGTACAAAAGTTTTTTTTTACTGTATATGTCTCATATGAATTAATTAATAAAGATCCCAGTTATTGTGATAACTGGAACATCATAGCATATAGTTAGACGTACAACGTAATTTGTGATTAATGACACACGCACGAACACACTCAGGATTAGATAAAAGAGTGTGTTAATCCATTGTCATATTAAAACCACAAAACTGACAGACTATATTTTGTCAGGGTCATATTCCTAGGATAATTTATAATAGAAAATCGTCAGGTAATTAACATATTCTTAATTCTTACTTAAAACTTTTGACACATTTTATTAGTTCATAAATATCTTCTACAATAAGGAATTAAATATCAGCTAAATACATTATTAAAGTGGTGAAATGCACATTTTCTGTAAGTTGGGGTGATAGGGGTGGGGAAGAGAGAAAGATTTGTTACCAGTGAGCATAACAGTTATTCCTTGTAATAAAATTCATGCAGGGAGCAACAGGAACCAAGAAGTACTTTGTACACGATTCAACTCTATACACTCCCAGTTATTGTCATTACAGTAGCTCATAGTACTAGAAAATTCATAGGCAAATGTGATATGTGTGTGTATATGTTTGTGTATATATATATATATATATGTATCATACACAAACACTAGTTTTGAAGTAGTTAGGGGAGAACATGCTTACTTTTAGAGCTGCGAATAAAAGAACTAATATTTCATGGGTATTGCCCTCCGGTGGCACAGCAGTATGTCTGTGGACTTAAAACACTAGAAACTGGGTTTTGATACCCGTGGTGGGCAGAGCACAGATAGCCCATTGTGTAGCTTTGTGCTTAACTTCAAACAAACAAACAGTTCTTGGGTATCATATCTACGATAGATGTATATTACACACACCGGTAATACTTGGGTTTATTCTTAGCTGCAGATGAGGTTGATCACATGATGTGTCAGATTACCCTTGCAGCATTATAAATGACTGGAACTAGCACATTTGCAGTCACCCTCAGAAGTATGAGGAAAAGCAAGGATATTGCAGTGTTTAAAAGAAGCATGATAGTGGGTACTGGTCTAGCAGGTGCTACAGTTTCATTGGTCAGCTGCTCCAAGACCAACATCTTGGAGATTCGAGTTTATCAGTAATGGCAAAAGGTGAATAAAATGTCTGTTGCAAAGAGGGACTGTGATTGCAAATACATATTGACAGAAAGAGGAGAAAGACAAGATGGTAAAGTCCAATCATCACCAAAAATAAACCAAGTTACAGACATTCATTGAAGGTTAATCCACATCCTTCTCAAGTCATACTTTGGAAAGAATGTTGTAATGAGTGCACTATGGTAGTAGGAGACCATTACATGAATCACTGATCTCACTTACCAGTAAGAAAAAAAAAGTGCTTTAAGTGACATAAGGGAGTTTGTGCAGTGGACAAATGAAAACTGGTGAAAAATAATGACATCATATGGACCAAGCTTTACCCTTTTTGTTTGCACAGATGGAAGAAGACAGATTTAGAGAACGCCACTCTTGCCCTCTCTTGTGTGGTCCCAACTATCCAGGCCTCTGATGCCGGATTCATGGTTTCGGACATATTTTCCTAGCATACCCTGGGCCTATTAATCCATTTAGAAGGCAGAACGAAAGCCACAGATTACCTTAGCATCATTTCTGATCAAGTGCATCCAGCAGTACCTTGTGTGTACCTTAATGGAGATGGCTACTTCTGAGGTATCAATACTCCCTTCCACTGTACCCAAACTGTACGTGCATGCCTTGAAGAATATGACTGAGACTTCAGGTATCTCCCATGGCCACCATAATCCCCAGATCCTAATCCAAATGACCATCTGTAGGATAAATTTGAAAGACATAATTGCCATCATGATCCTATGCCTATATTACTCCATGTATCGTGTAGAGTATTAATGATTGGACGGAGAAAATTCCATCAGAAAACCTTGCAGCACTGTGTAGATCTAGTGCTATGTTTTGTCAAGGCTATTATTCAGGCAGAAGGTGGCCAAACCCATTATTAGGTATAGTTCCTAATGAAGTAGTCAGCTACTGTGTATATATATCATATTGATATATAATTTTTTATAACTCAAAATATATCCATGTTTGCTTTATGTTCCTTGAAATTTAAAGCATTTTCAGTTGAAGATATAGTGTTAGTTTTCTTCTGTTTTCTGCAAAACAGGAAATTTTGATATAATTACAATCGGAATTAAAAAAAATAATAAGGCATGGTGTGTTCTAATGAAAACATTTGAAAAGAACATTGTGGCTGTTTAAAGTTTTTATACCACTTTTTACAACTTCTGTATGAACCTCCTGACCACATATTCTGTATGCAGAATATAATTCTCCTAAGTACCCATATTGTATTTAAAATTCATATTTTTACCTACAGATGGCACCATCTTAAAGAAGCTCTTATTGATAAGAGGTCAAAACTTGGTGAATCCCAGTCTCTACAACAGTTCAGTAGAGATGCTGATGAGATTGAGAACTGGATTGCAGAAAAGATACAGATAGCCAAAGATGAGTCGTATAGAGATCCTGCTAACATTCAAGTGAGTAACAAAAATAAAGGATCCAAATTTAATTAACTTTTGTAGATAGTAGGGTGAAGTGTGTAAGTAATTAATGGGTGTTGCAGTCTGGAAATATAATAATAAAAAGTAGTTGATGGTTTGGAAAAGTTTTCACTTTTATTAGTAAAAATAAAAACACTATTTTATTAGTTTATTGAAGAAACAACTTGCAGGTGAAAATTTTAACTTTAATGTGAATAATAGATCTAATATTTAAAACTTCTAATCTAAACTTGTTTAAATCCAATTTAATACTAGTCTCAATAAAAATGACTCTCGTAATAAATTTGGTCCTCCAGTGGCGCAGCAGTACGTATGCTAAAACTGGGTTTCGATACCTGTGGTTGGAACAGCACAGGTGGATAGCCCATCGTGTTGCTTTGTGCTTAACAACAAACAAACAAACATAATAAGTTTGTACACTCAATAAAAACAATTTTTCTCTATAAATATACAATATACCTTGTTTACATACAATGAATTAATGTAAATTATATTCTTTTAGTTTTTCTTTAACTGTCTATGGGGTGAATAACTTTTAAATATCCAAAGTCTTAGTTCAGATGCTTCATTTTGTTAAATTAAAGAAAATTAGTTTGTGATTTCAACAACCATGTTTGCTTGTTTATAACATGATAATTTTTTAAATTACTTTTTTGGAATACATGTTACGTGATTGTCATCCATGTGTATTAAACTGTAGAGTAATAATGTCATAGGTGGTAAGTAGCGAGTCATTTTGAATAGATTAAAGAACCTTTTCCTCTGTATTATGGCTGCGGACTTACAACGCTAAAATCTGGGTTTCGATACCCGTGGTGGGCAGAGCACAGATAGTTCATTGTATAGCTTTGTGCTTTAATTACAAATAAACAAACAATCCTCTGTATTAGTTTGATTGAAGTCTCTGAAGTAAAACAGAAGAAAGGTATCGTTGATCTATCTGTAATTAATCATATGGATATTAAAAAAAATTTTGATTAAAATATCATTATAATTCTTATAATTGTGTTAACAAGTTGATCATATTAAGTTACAGCTAACAGATGAGGAGTTCAATATTAAGTGTAAAGGTTTTTTATCTCAAGTGTGTTATCAATCTAGAATTTTAAACTTAATTTCAGTAACAGTTTTTTATTGTTTAGTTAATTGTGTTATGTTTATTTTTTTAGGAACCAGATTTTGGGCTCCATGGATAAATGTGTTTCTTAAAGGTTTTGTATTTTGATTAAGAATTTTGTAATTGTTGAAATAGAGCAAACACCAGAAACATCAAGCCTTTGAAGCTGAAATTGCTGCTAATGCTGATAGAGTCCAGGCTGTTTTGGGTCTTGGTCAAAACTTGATCGACAAGCACCAGTGTGCTGGCTCAGAAGAAGCAGTGAAGGCTAGACTTGTGTCCCTTGCTGACCAGTGGGAGCACTTGACCCAGAAATCATCAGAGAAAAACTTGAAGTTAAAAGAAGTGAACAAAGAAAGATCATTTAATGCTGCCGTAAAAGATCTAGACTTTTGGTTAGGCGAGGTCCGTTTCAACGTTTCTACTTTTTTCACTTCACTTCTCTTTGTTTGCACTTTATTGATACTTAATATTCATATAACGAAACACCTGCAAAAATGTTATACTTAGCATACATACTAAGCATAAAAAAAAATACTATAACTTTCTTTTGGATTGTTAAAGTTGTATTTTCATTGCTGTTCAAAAGTTTGTAATTATTTTGCAGAGTAAGAAAGAATTTGCATTTAAAACTTGAAATTTTGACATTATCTCTCCTTATCCTTTTCTTTCCATTATATAGTCCTATTATCAGTCATTAGATTTGCAACTTCTCATAGATAGAGGGCAGTAAAGGGGAATGTACTTTAACACAATGTTATACTTTGTAAAACCACTCCTGTGCATAGGAAGAGGCATTTTAAAATTTTCAAATAAATATTTCAAGTGTTGTAAAAGTTGCTTCATTTATGAACAAAAATCACTGCCATTATATATTTTTTTCTTTATTGTTAAGTAAGTTTATTCTCGTTATTATATAAACCTTATTGAGGTATTAACTATTCTAGGTGGACTCTCTTCTGGAAACAGATGATTCTGGAAAAGACTTAGCTTCAGTACAGAACCTGATCAAGAAACATCAACTGGTAGAAGCTGACATCACTGTCCATGAGGACCGTATCAAGGACATGAACAACTTGGCTGACGGTCTGGTAGAGTCAGGACAGTTTGATTCTGCTTCTGTGCAAGAGAGGCGTACTTCCATTAATGAAAGATACGAACGCGTCAAAACTCTTGCTGCTTATCGTAGGTCTCGACTTGATGAGGCTTACACTCTTCATCAGTTCTTCAGGGACATTGCTGATGAAGAATCTTGGATTAAGTGGGTTTTTTATTACTTTCATACGATAAAATGTATGTAAATGCGTATATGTATAAACACAAAGTGTAAACAGGTCTTTAAAATGATTTGTCTTTTACAATAAATAAATAGAACAAAAATTAAAAAGTTAATTATTAATACCATTCAGTATTAGATTAACTTTGATGTATGCATGTGCCAGTTGTATATACTATAAACAAGCCATATTAGGCAAATGTAGAATGAATTATAAACTGGTTAGACAAAATAATTGTAAATTTTTAATAATATGTGAAACCATACTTCATCAATTTTTCATGCAAAAATATCGTACATAATTAAGAGTTATTATTTATGTATCAATATATATATATATATGTACACTGTCATTTAAATCTTTCTTCAAAATTCAGTATGTCTGTTTGTAGTATTGGTATGAAAACATTAACTTTACTATTAACAGAGAGAAAAAGCTCCTTGTTGGCTCAGATGATTATGGTCGTGACTTGACTGGAGTCCAAAATCTTCGGAAGAAACACAAGAGGTTTGAGGCTGAGTTAGCTTCTCACGAACCAGCAATCCAGGATGTCCAGGAAGCAGGTCAAAAACTAATGGCCGAATCAAACATTGGTGTGCCTGAAATTGAACAGAGACTTAAAGCATTAGCTCAAGCCTGGCAGGAACTTAAGGAGGTTAGAAAGGCTGATAAGTCTGAAACGCACCAAGTTTTGACTAACACGGTATCTACTTATCTGACTAGCATGGTATGTACAATACTTATCTAACTGACTAACACAATATCTACTTATCTGACTAGCATGGTATATACAGACTTATCTAACTGACTAACACGATATCTACTTATCTGACTAGCATGGTATGTACGATACTTATTTAACTGACTAACTTGGTATGTACCATACTTATCTAACTGACTAACTTGGTATCAACCATACTTATCTAACTAACTAACTTGGTATCTACCATACTTATCTAACTAACTAACTTGGTATGTACCATACTTATCTAACTAACTAACTTGGTATGTACCATACTTATCTAACTAACTAACTTGGTATCTACCATACTTATCTAACTAACTAACTTGGTATCTACCATACTTATCTAACTAACTAACTTGGTATCAAACATACTTATCTAACTAACTAACTTGGTATCAAACATACTTATCTAACTAACTAACTTGGTATCAACCATACTTATCTAACTAACTAACTTGGTATCAACCATACTTATCTAACTAACTAACTTGGTATCAACCATACTTATCTAACTAACTAACTTGGT